ACAGTTTTTAAACTGCAACATTAACACCCCTCCTTCAGAGTGCAGGCACTGTACTTCCCATCTCCAGGACTCAAGTCCGGCCTGCCGGTTTCCCTGAATCCCTTCATAAATGTTACTTTGCTCACACTCCAACAGCACGTCAAGTATTAAAAACCATTTGTCTCCATTCACTCCTATCAAACACGCTCACGCATGCCTGCCGGAAGTCCAAGCCCCTCGCACACAAAACCTCCTTTACCCCCTCCCTCCAACCTTTCCTAGGCCGACCCCTACCCCGCCTTCCTTCCACTACAGACTGATACACTCTTGAAGTCATTCTGTTTCACTCCATTCTCTCTACATGTCCGAACCACCTCAACAACCCTTCCTCAGCCCTCTGGACAACAGTTTTGGTAATCCCGCACCTCCTCCTAACTTCCAAACTACGAATTCTCTGCATTATATTCACACCACACATTGCCCTCAGACATAACATCTCCACTGCCTCCAGCCTTCTCCTCACTGCAACATTCATCACCCACGCTTCACACCCATATAAGAGCGTTGGTAAAACTATACTCTCATACATTCCCCTCTTTGCCTCCAAGGACAAAGTTCTTTGTCTCCACAGACTCCTAAGTGCACCACTCACTCTTTTTCCCTCATCAGTTCTATGATTCACCTCATCTTTCATAGACCCATCCGCTGACACGTCCACTCCCAAATATCTGAATACGTATTAGTATTAAGTATTAAGTCAGTATTAGTATTAAGTCAGCCTTATGATTACTTTGCCTGAAATTGTCCCATTATAATTCTACTGAAACCTTCTTAACTTCCTGCTTCTTCACCATCTCTTATAATCGTTCCATAGCCTAAAGATAATGAGCCCAATTAACTTAAGATCACTGAATCAGTTCAAAGTATTAATGCATACTTGAAACTTTATTATTTTCATTTAGCTACATTTCTTTTTGTACATTTAAAAAACTCTTACTCAATAATCAACGTTTAGTTCATAAGTAGTCTGTATGTATTAAGATTAGTCTGCCTGAAATGCACCGCATGCTAGTGTTCCAAAATGCCCCAGCATGACAGTAGCTTGCTTTGTACTTAGCAAATCAATATTGTAATTACACACTGTAAACTGTGCAAGGAAATAAACTCATTAATCCTTAACTTAACAATATTTCATTATATGTAAACTACATTTTGTAAATTGCAGAAAAGAAATAAAGTTGTATTGTATTGAAATGCATTTGTATAGTGCTTTCTTCTGGGCCTTTACTGTATCAAATTATATTAAAATAATAATTTATTAATAAATGCATTAATTACTCAGTACTTGTATGGCTCTTAAGGAATAAATATTAAAAAAAATTTTAATTTTTAATTTAATTACTGCAAGTACTGTCTGGCTAGATATTTTCAACATGCTATTTATGTTACCTTTATTTATTCCCATTTTCCATTTGTATATTTCAATCATTTCTCCCCTAATTACATGCCAAAGAGTGGAAGTTCAATGCCTTCAGTTTATTTTCATAGGAAAAGATTCTAGTACATAAAAACATTCTTCTCTATATACATTCTTGTAATAAGGAGACCAGAAATGAGCAGCATAATCAAAATGTGGCTTAACCAAAGATACGAAGACTGTCAGATAATACACTATCTGTTAACGTGTGCCTAACATGGTTGCAAAAAAATTACAGCATATTTTCAGTGAACAAGCCATAAAAATAGGTTTACGTTGTTGAGTATATATAAGGGAAAATGTGGCAAACACCACTTTCTTTCCCCTCAGTCTCACAGCAAGCTTCAAAGGCAAGTCCACTGTGTTATGGGGAAGGCCTATGTAATGTACACAACATCCCTCACCCAGTGCTTCGTTTATGTCTCCATCTACTTTTGATTTTTTTATCATCCCGTCTCATCTCTCGATAATAACAATGGAATGTGAGTAATCCTGGAACTGTAAAGAAGCATAAGCTGGTGTTTTGAAGAAAATAGAGATATTATATTAGATAAGATTAAGGGTTGATCACATGATGGAGACTGCACACCCTATGGCCTCAATGAGGGATCAGTTTGAAAAAGTAAGAAGAATGAAGCAAAGATATGAGCTTGTGCTCATATCTTTGTAATGACACATAGGTCAGAACAGCTAAATGAGACAGAAAAGTTGTTGAGTGGATCGATCAAATAACCATGAAAGGTATACTACTTAATTTCATCTTAATAAGGAAAAAATGTCTTACAGAATTATAAAACCGTGTGTGATGTGGAAAGAAGGCCTTAACAAGAGTGCTTGCTTAGTACACAGCGGTTCCACAAATTCAAATAATGTAGCCAGTTACAAAATATGAAGTTTTCCGGTGAGTGTGCTTCCGCTGGCCACACTGCTGAATATTTCCCTGCTAGGTTACAGGAAATTATTTCTAAGGATGGCTACCAGCCACAGCAAGTGTTTAATGCTGATTAAACAAATCTTTATTGGAAGATGCCAGAATGAATTTACATCAGCAAGCAAGAGAAATGTGCACTGGGATTCAAAGCAGCAAAGAATTGGTTCAGCTTGCAACTTTGAGGTAATGCATCAGGCAATCTTAAGGGTAAGTCAATGGTTATTTACCGCTCAGAATCCCCATGCTCAAGAAATCGTATGACACGATTGCAAAAAACCATACCGCGATTGAACCCACGGTCATGATTGAGTTTGAGACTCAGACGGTCATCCCGGCGATGGTATGCAGAGAATCCATGCTTGAAAGGTTAGATAAAACCACTAATCAGTCCTTTGAGGTTAAACAGTCCAGAAGGATACAGAGAATTTTTATGCATTTAAGATCATTATCCCAATCCAGTTTACTACACAGCAAGAACCTTGCATTCAAAGGTTTTCTTCACTCTTCATAATTCCCACACTCATCCAGAAGTTTTGGTGGATGTACACCCACATGTAAAAGTTGTGTTTTTACCACCAAATACATCTTTAATACAACCACTGGATCATGGAATTATTAGGACATATAATCCACATCTCGAAAATAGGAGACTTTAACTTTATCATTATTATGGTAATTCCAGGAGATATTAAAATTAAATGATTTGTGATCAACTTTTCCACACTTTTCGTTAACAAAGATTATCTATCAGAGATTCCTTGTTTGCCAGAACCAAGTCCAGCTAGTTTTTCCTCTACTAGGTTCTGATACAAACTGTTTCAATAAGCAATCCTGGACTATCTCAAGAAAGTTGCTAAACTCCTAATACCTGTCAAATGCTCCATTTTACTGAACTACAGTTAAAAACCTATCATTAAAAAACTACATTTTCATTTTTATTTTCCTGAACAATTTCTTCTCAAAGAAGTTTACTGTTGTCTCTATCGAGATTTGAGGTCTGCAGATCACACCTAAGATAATGTTTTCATGTACTTTAAGAAACTGTACTTAAACAAATTTTGTGTTTGTCCCTGCCATCTTTATGTCATTTCTGATGCAACAGCTTAAATTGTCCCTGACATACATCGCAACTCTACCATTTTTCTCTTTGACTCTATCACTGTAGAATAATTTATATCCCTGTATGTGGAATTCAGAAGGCATATTCCTATTTTGCAGACTGAATAAAGTTTCAGTTATTGCTATAATATATGTGTTTCTTGCACATGTAATCAGTCTTAGGGCACCTTTTTTATTTTTGATACTCGGGATATTTGTATGATACTAGGGACTTTATGTTATGTAAGACACATATGCAACAGTTAGGTATCTTTATTTCGAACTGTTTCGCCTACACAGTAGGCTTCTTCAGTAGAGTACAGAAAAGTTGATAGAAGCAGAAGATACTTGAAGACGATGTAATCAGTCCATCACCCTATAAAATGGTATAAAATGCCTGTCGGTATTTTATACCATTTTAATGTTCACTAGAGACTTTATTTTGCTTTTCTTCTGTCTCATTTGGTAGTGCCTCAGCTCACACACTGAGTGTCCATGATTCAATTCCCAGCTCGACTGAAACATTGGGCATGTTTCCTTACATTTGCTGTTCCTGTTCACCTAGCAGTAAATAGGTACCTGGATGTTAGTCGACTGGTGTAGGTGGCATCCTGGGGGACAAGAATTAACGACTACAATGGAAATAAGACACAGTCCTTGTTAACACACTGATAAGTAAGATACATGTGCAGCAGTTCAGTATCTGCCTACATAGTACGTTTCTTCAGTCAAATACAGCGGAGGCAGCAGAAATGTAAAGACGGTGTAATAAGTGTAACACCCTCAAGGATGTAGCTTTGAGGTGGTCAGTCGCTCAGCCTGGAGAAGAGTTCTGCACCATAGTCTGGTACAATGTGAAGCTGCCACCTTTGTATTCCACTGAAGAAGCCTAAGATAAGATAAGATTTTGTTCGGATTTTTAACCCCGGAGGGTTAGCCACCCAGGATAACCCAAGAAAGTCAGTGCGTCATCGAGGACTGTCTAACTTATTTCCATTGGGGTCCTCAATCTTGTCCCCCAGGATGCGACGCACACCAGTCGACTAACACCCAGGTACCTACTTGCTGCTAGGTGAACAGGACAACAGGTGTAAGGAAACGTGTCGAAGTGTTTCCACCCGCCGGGAATAGAACCCGGGCCCTCCGTGTGTGAAGCGGGAGCTTTAGCCACCAGGCCACCGGGCCTACTGTGTAGGCGAAACGTTTCTGAATAAAGATACCTTACTGTTGCACGTTTTATCAACTTGTAGGTATTGTATACCATTATTATACTGATGACGCACTGACTTTATTAGGTTAACCTTGGATAACTCTCCCCGGGTTAATAAAAATTAACAAACCCTATCCTCTCCTATTAATTAGGAACTACTTCATGAGGTCTCCTCCTATCTGAATATGAGAGCATTAACTTGTTTACAACACTTAAGACACATGTGTCCCACAACATGGTTCTCTTTTCTTCTAAAATATACATTTGATTAATCAATTTATTCCACAAAATAAAACTTTGTTTACCTTTCAAAGACGATCAAGACAGCATCGAGTACGGAGAACTTGTTCACTAATTATATATTGTTACTGTTTAACTGATTTACGCTACGATAATCTTAAAATTTTTTCATAAAGAAATATACTAATATATTAAAAATAAATTATCGCTTACTTATTTTTATTTATAGTCAAACATCCAGTAACATTAATATCCTTGCTCGTATATGATGCTGGATTGGTTCCAGTTATCCCAATAGACACGTAGAAATTACGAATATTTATACATTACTTATCATAAAATGATAAGTAATGTATAAAATGATAAGTAATGATATCAGAAAAAATATTTGCATACGTTAACAGACTAAAAGAATATAATATAAACTCTCAATAAGAAAAATAGAGAAGAGTTCAGAGTTCCCGCCAAGACAGAGGTGACAGACGTACACACCTGACCTCTCTTATTATCTCTGGTAATTACAGTAATTAATTACACGTTACACTGCAAATGTTGTTTATTTAATATCGGAATGTTACTCACGTCTTTATATTTTGTAATTTATATATATATATATGACTGTAAATATCTTATTTCTTCATGACACAAGGCTGCTACTTCCCATGACCCTCAGGGAAGGTTCCGTGACGCTGGTGAGGGGCTCTTGATCTAGGGAATTGGATCTCTGCTCCAGTTTCCTGAACTGAACCTGAATACCTTTCATCTCCCCCCCCCACATGCGCTGTATAATCCTACGGGTTTAGCGCTACCCCATGATTATATAATTATAAAATACTCCCCATGACTTGTCACTGTTAAATAGGTTATATAGGTACAACTACACATTAATACAGTTTCAGAAATTATCATACATAAGTAACATATGTGTAAATTACCTAGGATAACCCCTCAAAAAGTCAAAGTGACTTATTTCCACCAAAACCAAATAAATACTGAATAACTGAACCTTATAAATTGTATATCTTAAATGTTTCTCACAATTATATCACATAAATGTTAAACCTAAAACCCAATCTAACTTTATTATTTTTTAAATACACTACCTAACAGAATACTCCATTCTACTGAATTTATAACAATGACCTGTCTTTGTAATACTCACTTGTGCTTTATAGTAATCAGTTTACATTAATGTTTTTCACTGATTTCATCATTGCTAAGTTAATCTTAAGTTAATTTTAAGCCAGCCCGTAATGCTATGCATAGTATAAGTGGCTTTGGCATGCTGCTCTTATCTGTATTTTTTTTTGTACCTCTGTAAGTGTGCTCAAATTATAAATAAATAAATAAATTGGGGTCCTTGTTGATTCGCTGTTGTAACTGTTGTTGCTTCACTGTTGTCTGGTGTCACCCTTGTTGGTTCACAATTGTCTAGTGTCATTGTTGCCGGTTCAGTGTTGTCTGGTGTCATTGCTGTTGGTTCGGTGTTAAAAAAAGATTTTGTTTGATTTTTTAAGTTCGGAAGAGTTAGCCACCCAGAACTAACTCCGGGGTTGTCTGCCTTATTTTCATTGTGGTCCTTAAACCTTGTCCCTCAGGATGCGACCCACAACCAGGTACCTACTTACTTGCTAGGTGAACGGGGACAGCAGGTGTAAGGAAACACGCCAAATGTTTCCAACCTTGCTAGGGATCGAGCCACGGACTTGCGTATGAGGTGAGAGCGTTGTCTACCTGATCACTAGGTTCACTGTTGTCGGGCGTCATTGTAGGTTGAGTAACGTCTGTTGTTGGTTCATTGTTGTCTGGTGCCATTGTTGCTGGTTCACCGTTGTTGGTTCCCTGTTGTTGGCTGAGTAACCTCTGGTTTAGTATTGTCTGTTAGTCACTATTTTTGTGTTGGTTCAGTGATGTCTGTTGTCACCGTTGTTGTATCGGTTCAGTAATGTCTGTTGCCTCTGTTAAAGGCTACCTGTCCAACAGAAAGGCTTCTGTGTTGTTCCAGGGGCACATAAGTTTAACTAAAAACTTTGAATTAGGAACCCAACAGGGAGGTATGTTCAGCCTCACCTTACTCAATAATCTATAAATGCCATACTTAACGCTATGCCTAGCCAGCCCGATCATTATATGATTAGCTTTGCTGATGATATAATGATTCACACCACCGGATTCTCCAACACTCATAGCATCCTTAACCATGTACTAGCCTCGTGTCAGGACCTGGGGTTGATAATCTCTACTGGTAAAACAAAGATACTCAACATGCGTCCTCAACGACAGAGAGGCACAGTTCGCCTGATCCAGCTGCATGATGGGTCTCTTCTAGAATATGTAACCCGATATAGGTATCTAGGCTCTGAGGTCCCATTACTTGGACCTATTGTAAGGAGACTGCCGCCAGTACAAAGAAAGGCAGAAGAGAACTTAAAGATGTGGAAGGTTTTGATCCCAGGTATGGTGCTAATAATAAAATTGTGAAAATGATGTATTTTGCTTATATATTAGATTATTGGCTAATTATGGCGCACCACTAGCTCCTGTGTCTGACTGGAAGCTTGGTGGGCGGGAAAAATTGCAGACCGATGCAATGAGGATCATCCCTGGATGCTCTCGTACTGCCAAAATTTTAAATATGCGGAAAGAACTTGATATTCCATGCATCAGAGATCGTGTTACTGAAAAAAATGTCCCCATTGGGATCAATATGCTCAGGCAATCCCAGTCAAAGCCTTACCTGGAGTTTACCTGGAGAGGGTTTTGGGGGTCAACGCCCCCGCGGCTCGGTCTGAGACCAGGCCTCGTGGTAGATCAGGGTCTGATCAACCAGGCTGTTACTGCTGGTCGCACGCAAACTGACGTACGAACCACAGCCCGGTTGGTCAGGTACTAACTTTTGGTGCCTGTCCAGTGCCTTCTTGAAGACAGGCATAGAAGCCTTCCAAACCTTCATTTGCACTGGTGAACACTCCTTTATATGGATCGAAAAAACTGGAACTGACCTCCGCATGAACCAGATACATGATCTATGTCAAGTTAGGAAACAGCGGCACTTCCCAGCTCCATGGGATATTATCCCATCAACTACCTCCTCAATTCCCCCAAAACTTTAAATTACAACCAAAGCTCGCCTTGAACCCAAACAAGATGCCTTAAACTGTGGCAATATAAACACAAATGCAGTATAATGTGATCCTTTATTGACTACGTTTCGCCCACACAGTGGCTTTTTCAATCACAAGTCTGTTTGTGACTTGAAAAAGCCCACTGTTTGGCGAAACGTTCATAAAGGACACAATACGCATTTGTGTTTATTGCCATTGTGTCCGATTTATACATTATTTCGCCTTAAACTGTATTGATAACTTAATCACACAGAACACTTTCACAAATTATAAATGATGATGGTTCTGTTCACCAATCTACTGGTGCAGCCGGTAATGTTGCTGTTGTACAGAGACCCATCAAGGAAGATTTCTTGACGCTGGTGAGGGGGGGCTCTTGATATAGGGAATTGGATCTGTTTTCGGATTCCCTGAATACCTTCCACAATCCCCCACAATCGCTGTACTATCCTACGGGTTTAGCGCTTCCCCCTTGATTATAATAATATCATAGAGTTATGGCTATCATGAAACTGGAGCACGCATCAATAACTAGGCCTCTATCCTTCAGACAGAACTGTTTGCCATACTCCTTGCACTTAAATGCGTCCATGTATCTAAGGTTGACACTTCAACTGTAACTGATTCAATGTCATCCATAAATGCTCTCAACTCGTTAAGTATAAATTGTGGCACGCTTGCGTTAGACGCCCGATGGTAAGATTGTGAACAGTGGAGTCAGGGTGCACCTTCTGTAGATTTCATCTCGCATTGGTCTTCAGATGCCTGATAGAACTGATGAACTGGCTAAGTTATATGCTTTCAAAGAGAGAGTAGATTACAATCTTGGGTTGTCAAGCCGTTACCGTAACGGCTTGATAAAGCTCCTGGAGAGCGAAACGTTGCCACAATAAAATGTCACATTAGTTGCACTTGTGTCATTTTACTTAACATATTGTCGGTAATTCTACCAACATTAATACAATTCTTCAGTCTAATACAGGGAAAGATAAAGATGAGGGGTTTAAGGTAACCAGTCCCTCAGTCTAGAGACGATGTTTTCAGTCCAACAACTTTCCCAAAATTGAAGTTAGGCATATTGGTCTATAATTCGATGCTAAAGACCTACATCAAACCTTTGTAAATGAGTATCACACTTGTCTTTTATAATTTACCAGGAACAATACCTGTTTGTAGTGATATGTTGAAGAGACTAGCCAGTGGATTCCTAAGTTCCACCAGGGCCAGGGGTCCGATGCTAAAGATAAGGCTAAAGAGGTTTTTGTGGCATTTATGGATTTGGAAAAGGCGTATGACAGGGTGGATAGGGGGGCAATGTGGCAGATGCTACAGATGTATGGTATAGGAGGTAGGTTACTGAAAGCAGTGAAGAGTTTTTACGAGGATAGTGAGGCTCAAGTTAGAGTATGTAGGAAAGAGGGAGATTATTTCCCAGTAAAAGTAGGCCTTAGACAAGGATGTGTGATGTCACCGTGGTTGTTTAATATATTTATAGATGGGGTTGTAAGAGAAGTAAATGCGAGGGTCTTGGCAAGAGGCGTGGAGTTAAAAGATAAAGAATCACACATAAAGTGGGAGTTGTCACAGTTGCTCTTTGCTGATGACACTGTGCTCTTGGAAGATTCTGAAGAGAAGTTGCCGAGGTTGGTGGATGAATTTGGTATGGTATATAAAAGAAGAAAATTAAAAGTGAATACAGGAAAGAGTAAGGTTATGAGGATAACAAAAAGATTAGGTGATGAAAGATTGGATATCAGATTGGAGGGAGAGAGTATGGAGGAGGTGAATGTATTCAGATATTTGGAAGTGGACGTGTCAGCGGATGGGTCTATGAAAGATGAGGTGAATCATAGAATTGCTGAGGGGAAAAGAGTGAGTGGTGCACTTAGGGGTCTGTGGAGACAAAGAGGGGAATGTATGAGAGTATAGTTTTACCAGCGCTCTTATATGGGTGTGAAGCATGGGTGATGAATGTTGCAGCGAGGAGAAGGCTGGAGGCAGTGGAGATGTCATGTCTGAGGGCAATGTGTGGTGTGAATATAATGCAGAGAATTCGTAGTTTGGAAGTTAGGAGGAGGTGTGGGATTACCAAAACTGTTGTCGAGAGGGCTGAGGAAGGGTTGTTGAGGTGGTTTGGACATGTAGAGAGAATGGAGCGAAGCAGAATGACTTCAAGAGTGTATCAGTCTGTAGTGGAAGGAAGGCGGGGTAGGGATCGGCCTAGAAAAGGTTGGAGGGAGGGGGTAAAGGAGGTTTTGTGTGCGAGGGGCTTGGACTTCCAGCAGGCATGCGTGAGCGTGTTTGATAGGAGTGAATGGAGACAAATGGTTTTTAATACTTGACGTGCTGTTGGAGTGTGAGCAAAGTAACATGAAGAGATTCAGGGAAACCGGCAGGCCGGACTTGAGTCCTGGAGATGGGAAGTACAGTGTCTGCACTCTGAAGGAGGGGTGTTAATGTTGCAGTTTAAAAACTGTAGTGTAAAGCACCCTTCTGGCAAGACAGTGATGGAGTGAATGATGGTGAAAGTTTTTCTTTATCGGGCAACCCTGCCTTGGTGGGAATCGGCCAGTGTATTAATAACAAAAAAAATTAAATTGAGGTGGTGAAATCAAAGCATGAGAATTTACAGAAAGTTAATGGATACAACATTTGTGAGATTTAATAGACGCTTTTTAACAAATGTTTTCTTTTCCCTGCCTCGGTGGGCAACGGATGACTTGTTTACAAAAACTGCACAAAGTAGTACTTTTTTTTTTTTGTTTTCTGGCCGCAGTGGGAATGGAGCGTGCAGATAATTTATACATTTCTGCACTACGCTGGCTAGATGCCTCAGGTGGACTGGATAGGTTGAGGTCCGCACTGGTAGCCCGGGCAGCCCTCTGCCCAGCTCTCAAAGTCTTCAGTACACCTGTCTACGTTAATGTCATGTACCTGCGAGAAATAAGTGGTATGTCGGAGATAATTTTTGGTTATTTAAAATTTCCATATATTTTTTAAACAACTGCTTTTTGCATTAAACTTGTAGTCTGTCTTCTGTTTAAGTAATTTATTTAGATTTTTGTCAATTATATTTATCTTGGGTTACATTATACAAAAGGCAAAAAAGCAACAAATTAATCACTACTGGTTAGGCCACTTACCTTTATTACCCCCCTCTCCCCACCTCATCCACCCTTTTCAGCATTCCATTCTTACCAATCCTTCTTCCTCCCCCAACTTACCAACCCTAATCACTAGTAATGGCACTACTGACAGAGGAGCTAGCTGACTTGGTGATGAGTCGACCAGTGGAGGCTCAACAAATATTCCACCGTGTGGTTCATGTAGCCTCTGTGGCTATCAGCCTTCAGGTTAACTCCTCTTCCAATAATATGTTGGAAGCGTCTGTCACCACCCAGAATGACACATGCCCCGATGATGACCACGGTGCCCAGCACAACCACTGTGCCAAGAACTACCATTGTGCCCAAGACGACCACTGTCCTCCAGCACCAGCCACTGACATCCCCGACACTGAGCACCTCACCTCTCTCTACCTGGAGAACCAAGACAAGTGTCAGAAGGTCGCTACCATGCTAGGCGCCGTCACTAAGGAACTGAGTAAAGTGGATCTGAACGCTACTCTTCAGTCGTTAGCGTCCAACCTGCCGCTGGATGCCTCAGTGTCTGGAGACGCTACCACCATCCTCACACCTGCACAAGTAAGCAGCTCTCTATTAATACATCTGTACTTGCTGTTTGACCCATACGGGTCTGGTACTTGCTTTTTAATATAATAATAATTCTGTATTTAAGTAAGATTTTTTTTTTAATGTTTCTTACCTCTAACACCATTACAATTCACTAGCCCTTCAAGGAAAGTGCCTATAAGCGGGTGAAGGGCTCTTGAAACTATGAATTCAATACACGATTCCTTTCCTTGACGTAAACCTGATTACCCCAGATGCTAATCACATGAGTATAACATTAAAACTGACATCTAACCCACAAATGTAAATTAAATGACATTTGTTCTCATTCTGAACCCTAATTAAGCTGCGACTTGATAATGATCCAGGACGGACTCAAACTTGATATTGATCCAAGACGGACTTAAACCTGATAATGATCCAAGACGGACTCAGACTTGATAAGGATCCAAGACAGACTCAAACTTGATAATGATCCAAGACGGACTCAAATGTAATCAATTTTTTACACGTGCAACAACTGGGTATCAAATTTTTCAAGCCGAAGGTAGTTATGACTGACTCTCAGGCAGAGGGATTGATTACCTCTTTTTGTAAATAATTCTCCGGTGTTAAGAGACTAATTATCTCTTCTATTGTTTTTTGTGAATAGTTTTGTAAGACTAAGGGGCTGATTGCTTCATCTTCAACTGTCTTCACGTATCACGTCTTTATTTAATTGGTAAAGCATTGGTTGACGTAACGTCGTTGATTAAGATGCCCAGTAGTTGCACATGTCTAAGTCCTCATCTTGTTGGTGTTGTGTGCCACTGTTATAATGTTATTAGTCAACCTTTATTCAGCGTTGTGGGTTGAAAATAGCCCAGCTACAGTTCTGTAAATGTTTATTCCTCTGCCAATATTGCCTCATGAGGTTATGTGATGTTTGTAGATCCACGCGCCTCTCCGTGTGGTTGGTATACCGTGGGTGAAGGAGTGGGTGTTGGGCGGGATCAAAGACTTACCACTATACCTGCAGCAGCCCACGCTTGCTCTAGTCTCCGGGAGGGTCATCTCCGTCATGCTGCCAACAACCTACACGTAAGTCATAGGCATCATGGCTGGAAGTTGTCTCACACACATCATTCACGAATAAATTTAATATTAAATTCATATTGTAATGTTAGCACTGTCTTGTAAAGCTTCTGCCAATCAAGTACCAGGAGAGAAAAAATATTGTTAATACTACGTAGTCTGTAGACATTTTTTATAACGCATAAACTCCTAAAATTGTAAGTATGAAATAATTTGTGTCACTGATTGTCAAACATCAGTGTTTTTGGTATTTCAATCACACTGAGGGAAAATCTTAAGAAAAACTGAGGTATGACTATGTATATGCATGTATATGCATGTGTGTGTGTATATACTCACCTACTTGTGGTTGCAGGGGTCTAGTCACAGCTCCTGGTCCCGCCTCTTCGCTGGTCGCTACTAGGTCCACTCTCCCTGCTCCATGAGCTTTATCGTATCTCTTTATAAAGCTATGCATGGATCCTACCCCCGCTGCATCTCTCTCCAGATTGTTCCACTTCCTGACAACTCTATGACTAAAAAAATACTTCCTAACATTCTTGTGACTTATCTGAGTCTTCAACTTCCAGTTGTGACCCCTTGTTGCTGGGTCTCATCCTGAAACATCCTGTCCCTATCCATCTTGTCAATTCCTTTCAGTAATAAATATGTCGCTATTATGTGTCTCTTATCCCTCCTATCTTCTAGTGTCGTCAGGTTGATTTCCCTTAACCTTTCCTTGTAGGACATACCTGTTAGCTCCGGGACTATTCTTGTTGCAAACCTTTGCATTTTCTCTAATTTCTTGACATGCTTGACCAGGTGTGGGTTACATACTGGTGGTGCATATTCCAATATGGGCCTGACGTGCAAGGTGTACAGAATCTTGAACGATTGCTTACTAAGGTGTCGAAACGCTGTTCTTAGGTTTGCCAGGCGCCCATATGCTGCAGCAGTTATTTGGCTGATGTGCGCCTCAGATGTGCTCGGTATTATGCACACTAAGATTTTTTTCCTTGAGTGAGGTTTGCAGCCTTTGTCCCCCTAGCCTGTACTCTGTCTGAGGTCTTCTTTGACCTTCCCCAATCTTCACGATCCTGCACTTGGGGTTAAATTTCAGGAGCCAGTTGCTGGACCAGCCTTGCAACCTGTCCAGATCCCTTTGTGTGTACTCACCTATTTGTGGTTGCAGGGGTCGAGTCTTAGCTCTTGGCCCCTTTGTGTGTGTGTGTGTGTGTGTGTGTGTGTGTGTGTGTGTGTGTGTGTGTGTGTGTGTGTGGGTGTGCGTGTGTGTGTGTGTGTGTGTGTGTGTGTGTGTGTGTGTGTGTGTGTGTGTGTGTGTGTGTGCGTGTATTATTAGGAGTAAGTGGAGACGAATGGTTTTGGGGGCTTGACGAGCTGTTGGAGTGTGAGCAGGGTAATACAAGGTGGCCCATAAATTTGTTCATATGTTGGTTTTGCTAAAAAATATATATATATATATGTAGAAAAAAAAATTGGTTACGACAATTGAATTTTTATGTTTCCGAGATTTATACACTATTTTTTAAAAATAATGTTTCATAAATAGCGGCTTTGAGCCCGCTCACAAATTTCAGCTGTTTTGAGGGCATTCTGCATCACTTGACATAGTGTATCATTGCTTATTCTTGTAATTACCAGTCGAATATTTTCTTTGAGGTGTTGTAACGTCTGTGGTTTATCGATGTAAACTTTTTCTTTGGGGTAACCCCAAAGAAAGAATCCGGAACCGATAGATCTGGTGGTCTTGAGGGCCATCTGATGTCACCACTTTTTGAAATCAAGCGATTTGGGAAACGATGTCTGAGGAGATTCATTGTTGCTCTCGCTGTATGGCAAGTGGCACCATCTTGTTGGAACCAGGACCGCTCTGGCAGGAATTTTTTTCGATCATTTCCATATATCGTGCACTACTATTCACCGTAACTTGATGGCATTCTTCCTTATAAAAATAAGGTCCAATAATTTTTTGAGCCGATATTCTTGGTCTAGCGGTTCTGGAATCTATGACTGTCTCTGACTCTTCAAATTTAGCCACCAACCGCTTTATGGTGACCAACGAGGAAGAATGTCTAACATTGAAAAATGAACAATATTTTCGGTGTGTTTCAGAAACACTCCATTGGCTTCCCAGATAAAAACAACAAAACAAAACAAAACAAAAAAACAGCCGTTTTAATGAGTTGTTGAACCGTGTAACTTCCATGCTGTTGCTGGAGCTTCTCTAATTCAAACTGAAAAAAAAATAAACAAAAAATTATTAAATTTTAAATATATGAACAAACATATGGGTCACCCTGTTTATGAAGGGATTCAGGGAAACCGGTTAGCCGGACTTACAGTCCTGGAGGTGGGACATGCATTACCTGCACTCTAAATGAGGGGTTTAGGATATTTACTGTTTACAGGGACATCTAAACTGTCGTATCTGCCCGCCTCTAGCAAGACAGTGATAGTGCAAATGATGGTAAAAGTGTTTCTATTTTCGGGTCACCCTGCCTAGGTGGGAGACAGCCAGCATATAAGTGAACAATATTTAGATAAAGGTATGGTAGTTTTCGTTGCTTTTATGGATTTAGAAAAGGCATGTGACAGGGTGGATAGGGAAGCAGTGTGGCAGATGTTGCAAGTGATGGAATAGGTTGTAAGTTACTAAATGCTGTAAAGAGTTTTTATGAGGATAGTGAGGCTCAGGTTAGGGTGTGTAGGAGAGAGGGAGTTTACTTCCCGGTAAAAGTAGGCCTTAGACAGGGATGCATGATGTCACCTTGATTGTTTAACCTATTTATAAATGGGGTTGTATAAGAAGTAAATGCTAGAGTGTTGGGGAGAGGAGTGGGATTAAATTATGTGGAATCAAATACAGAATGGGAGTTGACAAGAGTCACTTCTTGCTGATGATACTGTCCTTTTGGGAGATTCTAAAGAGAAGTTGCAAAGGTTAGTGAACGAGTTTGAGAGGGTGTGTAAAGGAAGTTGAAAGTGACCATGGATAAGAGTAAAGTGATAAGGGAATCAAACGAGTTAGGTAAAGAACAATTGGATATCATATTAGAGGGAGGGGATATGGAAGAAGTAAATATGTTCATATAGGAGCCTCGAATTTAGTCGTGCCTTTTCTGTATGCAAAACTATTTTTATTATCTATAAAATGTATTTTTTGTTAATATTTCCTGACCTGACTAGCTTGTGCTGCTGGGTCTGGTGCCGTGCTCCATCCTTGAGTGGAGGTGACCAGGCTGAGTGGGTCATTGGGCTAATCCAGGGGGTCACATGGGCCTGCTCCGCATGGGTCAGTAGGCCTGTTGCAGTGTTCCTTCTTTCTTATGTTCTTATGTATTATGCTCACGCATGCTTGCTGGAAGTCAAAGCCACTCACGCACAAAACCTTCTTTCCCCCCGTTCCTCCAACCTTTCCTAGGCCGACCCCTACTCTGCCTTCCCTAGACTACAGATCTGTACACTCTCGAAGTCATTCTATTTTGTTCCATCCTCTCTATATGTCCAAACCACCTCAACAACCCCTCCTCAGCCCTCTGGATAATAGTTTTGGTAATTCCACACCTCCTCCTAATTTCCAAACTACGAATTCTCTGCATTATATTCACATCACACATTGCCCTCAGACATGACATCTGCACTGCCTCCAGCTTTCTCCTTGTTGCAAAATTCACCACCCATGTTTCACACCCATATAAGAGTGTTGGTATAACTATACTCTCGTTCATTCCCCTCTTTGCTTCCATGGACAGGCTTATTTCTCTATAATTTTTGCACTCTCTTTTGTCCTGTTTGCCTTATACAAAGGTAAAAGGGATATATATATATATATATATATATATATATATATTATATATATATATATATATATATTATATATATATAATATATATATAATATATATGTATATATATATATATATATATATATATATAATATATATATATATATATATATATATATATATATATATATATATTTTTCAACAAGTCGGCCGTCTCCTCACGACATCCCACTAACAAAATATTCTACCCAAGAAATAAGGTTTATTATTTGTCCAATGTATTATTAAATTCTAACCAAATTTTATTAATTATAAATGAATCTAATTTATATAAACCTAAGGAAATATTCATATTATTTTCAAAACTGCTTTTAATGAAGCAAGATTCAATTATATTTGTGTCGACCATGGACTTGCTTGATACAACTTTCTCAACTTTTTGAAAATCAATTGGATGGTTAAAATCTCTCACGTGAATAAATAGAGCATTGGAATCTTGTCCATTTCTAATGCTATATTTATGTTGTTTTAATCTAAGTTCGAGACTTTTACCAGTTTGACCGTAATAAACTTTATCGCAAATTTTACAAGGAATCTTATAGACACATCCATCAGCATTTTGGGGGGAATTCTTTATCAAAAGTTTTAACTCTGTATCAAGATTTTTAAATACAACTTTAATATTAAAAGTCTTAAGAAGAGAAGGCATATCAACCAAGTTTTCATGGTAAGGGAGAACCAGCATATTTTTAGTTGAATAAGGTTGGTTGTCCCTTTTTGGGTTGTAAAAAGTATTTCTAGCAATTTTAAATGATTTATCAATTACATTTCTCGGGTATTTCAGATCAATGACTATTTCATAAATTTTGGATATTTCTTCATCTATGAATTCTGAACTACAAATACGTAAAGCTCTCAAAAACATTGATGAGAAAACAGACAGTTTAATTATATATTGATGGGAAGAATAATAGTGTATATAGGAACAGTTATTTGTATTTCTGTAAATTTTGAATTTGAATTCATTATTATTTTAATAATTAAAACATCTAGAAAAGGCAATGAGTTATTTTCCTCAAACTCAACAGTAAAGTTTATAGAATGGGCTAAGCTATTTAATTTGCCAAGGAAATGGTGTATGTCTACATTCTTGGGCATAAGACATAAAATATCATCAACATATCTGAACCATTTTGCTCTATTAGGGAGGATTGTGTTAAGC